CTGTGCGTTCCTGCCCAAAAATAGAGCCCTGGTGGTTAAGAGTGCGGACTCTAATCTGGGAGAACCGGGTTTGATTCCCCACTCCTCCACATGCAGCTGCTGGTGTGACCTTGGGTCACTCATAAGTTCTCTCAGAGCTGTTCTCTCAATGGCAGTTCTCTCAGAACTCTCTCAGCCCCACCTGCCTCACAGGGTGTCTGTTGTGGGGAGGGGAAGGGAAAGGATTTTGTAAGCCGCTCTGAGACACCTTTGGGTAGTGAAGGGCGGGGTATAAATCCAATCTCTTCTTCTCTTCTTAATTTCCTCCCCCAAAAAAAGTTGCTGTGGATGTCAGCCCTGCCCTCGCTAGGCCAGGCAAGCCCCCATCTTGTCAGATCTCAGAAGCTGAGCAGGGTCAGCCTTGGACAGTATTTGGAGGGGGAAACTCCAAGGAATACCAGGGTCATGATGCAGAGGCAGGCAATGGCAAACCACCTCTGAATGTCTCTTGCCTTGGAAACCCCACCAGGGGTCATCAAAAGTGTGATGTGACTTGACGGCAAAAAAAAAAAGGTACCCACTGGTCTTTTTTTTTGTTGCTGGGGGGGGGCATTTTGTTGCTATGTTTTATCGAAGGATTGTTTTGTTTTGCTAAACTGTCATGAACACCTTGGGCGGGGGAGAAAGGTGGAATATTTTAGAATAGATATATTTCTTTTAATTATTCATCTCAGTTGCATTCCATTTTTCTCCCCAATGGGGGCCCAAAGTAGGGTTCCCAAGTTGGTTTTTCTTCGCTGCGGGGTGCTCCCGGACTCTATGTTTTCCCCTCAGATGGCTGTGGCCCCACCCCCAGCGTGCCCGGCATCATCACGTCACATTGGGCTGACGTGCACGCCGGGGTGGGGTTCCACGGCGTTGGAAATCGGGCCTCCAAAGCAGGGGATTATCTGCACCCCGGGGGGACTTGGCAGCCCTAGCCCAAAGTGAGTTACAGTAGTCTCTCCTCCTACATTTTACCCCATCTTTCTCCACAATGAGAGGACCTCAGGAGGCTTCCGTGTTCTCCTGCCCTCCATTTTATCCTCACAACAACCCTGTGAGCAGGGATTTTTTAAAAGGGGGGGGAGAAAGAGAGAGAGGTGTCAGAATTCAAAAGGAAAATGAAGCTTTCAATCTGTATACTGAAAACTCTTGAACTTTTAAACATTTTAAAAAGAATTTTGTTGAGGAGGATCTGGAACTCCATTCTGGTCTGTTCCCTCAGGGAAAAAAGCCCTGCCTGTAAGAGAGGTTAGGCTGAGAGTGGTCAGAGGTCACCCAGCCAGCTTCCATGGCAGAACAGGGATTCGAACTCGGGTCTTCCAGATCCTAAAAAGTAAATGTAAAGGTTTCCCTTGCTTGAAAGCCAGTCGAATCCGACTCTAGGGGGCAGTGCTCGTCTCTGTTTCCAAGCCAAAGAGCCAGCGCTGTCCGAAGAGTTCTCCGTGGTCATGTGGCCGGCATACCTAAACACCAAGGTGCACAGAACTTCCGGTCCGCAGGTCAGTGTCTTAACCTCTGAGCCACCGCAGCCCTTCCAGATCCTAGTCTGACACTTTAACCACTACACCACACTGCTGTTCTCTCTCTGTCTGTTTTTAAAAATAAATATTTTTAAATAAACCGATGGAAATAAATCCTGTCAATAAAAGCCTCACAGGCATTTGTCCCATTAGTTTTAAAGGAAATGCATTAAAATAACCTTCAAGCCCACTTGCCCCAGATGAAAGGAGTTACCATTTCTGGTCGGCTTGGCAGTCTGAGACCACAGTCCACAAACCACACACTCCATGGTAATCAGGCCAACTGCCCAGGGATGTCTGGGCCCCCTTCTGAAGTTAAGTGGCTCATGGAGTGGTTGAGACAGAGTAAAGCTGGAAACACCTTTTCCAATTCTGTCCGGTGGTGCGGAGGAACGTAAAGCATGACTGAGCCAGGGGAGGGCCACAGGTTATGTTTATTTTTCATAGTCACCTGACTGAGCTGCTGTGTGCACATGCTCCCAAATGGCAGCCTTCTCTTGTAATTCCAAACAAAACTGAGATTGGGAAGGGGGGGGGAGGAGAACGCATGAAACTCTGCCAACTCCTGCTCTGTTTGTAGAGGGGGAGGGAACCCTGATTCTGCCATGCCGCATTGGGTTATCTTAAGATGTGGGCATCTGAAGATGTGCAATGTAAGAGTGAATACTGGTGGTCCAGAGAACATGCATTTTTGTGTCACTTAGCAATAAGGGGCATTTTTGCAAATGACTTGTTTTTGGACTTCTCTACCTATACCATGGCATTAAAAAAAAATTATTTAAATATATTAGGAATGCACAGGGGACACACATAAGATCTCACCTAAGAATAATCCAGGAGCTGCAGTGGCTCAAGTGGTTAAGACTCTGAACTGCAGGCTGTGGAAGGTTGGTAGTTCAGCAGTTCAAGACCCTAGTGTGCCACATGACAGAGTGAGCCACATGACGGGAGTCTCTAGTTCCAGCTCCTGCCAACCTAGCAGTTCGAAAGCAAGAAACTGCAAGCAGATAAATAGGTACCACTTCGGTGGGAAGGTAACAGCGTTCTGTGCGCCTTGGTATTTAGTCACGCCGGCCACATGACCACGGAAATGTCTTCCGACAGCGCTGGCTCTTCGGCTTTGAAACGGAGATGAGCACCACAACCCTAGAGTCGGATTCGACTGGCTTTCGAGCAAGGGAAACCTTTACCTTTAAGAATAATCCACTCACCTGGATGCAAATATGAGCAAGATACACAAACACAAATGGGTGTGTATATACATATATCCACATGGTGCACACACAGTGAGAAGTTTTTTCGTTTTTGTGGCTGTCAAGTCACAGCTGACTTAGGGCGAGGCCCTCGGGTTTTCAAGGCCAGAGAAATTCGGAGGTGTTTTTCTCTTGCTCAGGAGGGCCCTGGTATTCCTCGGGGGTCTCCCAGCCAAACACTAACCACGGCCGGCCCTGCTTAGTTTCCGGGATCTGACCAGGTCCGGCTAAGGCTGGGCTCCCCAGGCCAGGGGACAGGAACGTCGCCACGCACACATCACGCCCAGCCAATCACGACGCG